ATATTATAAAAGATACAAACAAGAAAAAAAAAGGGGATAAGAGAATGTTGAAAAAAGAAAAAAGAAATTTGCCTATCCTAATGATTACTATTATAAGCCTGTGAAAGGCTTATAAAAATTACATACTACTAAATAAAATAGTATCTACTCTAAATTTATCTATATAGTATATGAAAGCTCAAAAACTAGTAGAAAAATATTTCTTCGACCATAAACCATAGGGGGTTGGTACTCAATCCAAGTCGTGAACATTGCTTTATCGGGTTGTTGCATTTGAGGCATGTGCCTTGACGTATTTGTTGTCCTGTTGTGTTAGCTATATTTATTAGTATTTTATTATTAATTTGTATGTAGAGAATTTTAATTTGGTGCACTATGCACCGTGATGCACCCCTGATCACAGGGTATAAATAGTAATCATCAACTGATCAAATCAGTTGATTTTTTTATTTTTTATTTCAAACATGCAGTATACTATATATTAATTTTTTTTTACAGTTTTGTTATTATCAATGCAGATTTTCTTTTATATCTAACCATCATTTCTGGAGTTGTCATTGGAGACACTATTAGAGTTGTTGTTATTGTCATTAATAGAGTTTTCGTTCATCACCTTCAGTATCATATCATGTCACGTTATCGTTGGAATTGCCGTAAAGCTAACGCTGGTGCTATATTGTGTGTAATGTTGTGTGTATTTAGTAGATTTCATTGCCATTACTGTTTTTAGTGCTGTGTATATAATTCTGTATTAAGTATTGTTCTGGTTTTTGTGATGCTAGCAGAATCTTCTTTTAGTTAGATTTTTTTAGCTTTATATGGTCTTATTTTGGGGTTTTCTCATTTTTAGTTTGCAAACGCTTCTATCTTTTTTTTTTTAGAGCATCTCTGAGCTTGGGATTATGAAACGTATGTTTTGGGAATCCTGGGAAATGTGATTTGGTATATTCCTGTATCTGTCATTCTTGTCTTCTAGTTTGTGATCACGTTACTAATACTTTTTTCTTTTTTTTTCTAGAGCATCTTTGGGCTTGGAATTATGGAACATATGTTTTGAAAATCCTGAGAAGTATGATTTGATATATATTCCTGTATTAGTTGTAATTGACTTCTAGTTTGTAAATGTGTTACTAATGCTTTTTTTTTTTTTTTTAGGTCTCTTTGAGCTTGGGATTATGGGGCGTATATCTTGGGAATTCTGAAAAGTGTGATTTAATAGATTTTGCATTCATTGTTCTTGTTTTTTGGCTTATAAATGCACTACTAATGCTTGTTTTTAGTTTGTTTTATTGTTCTTAGGCATATATCTTGTGAATCTCAGAGAGTATTATTTTATTTTTATTGTTCTTGCTAGCTTGTGGATATATTATTAATACTACTTTCCTTTTTTCTCAAGTTGTTAGGGCTTTTTTCTGCTTTATTGGATTCATGGGGAGTATATTTCATTTTTTTATTGTTTTTGTTCTTGTTTAAAACATATTACTAATGCTTTCTTT